TATTAAAAATTATTTGAATGAATAAAAAATTATAAAAGGGATAATGCACTGTATTAACAGCCTAAATGGAATTGAGCTGATAATTTTTGGGTTATTTTTAGTGTAGCTATTTCAATGAGATAATTTAATTGATTCAAAAATTTAGTTATTCCCTCATTAGTAATCTACCAGTCTAAAATTTTACTTTAGTGTTGTGCAAATATGTTTTGCACATTTATAAAAATGAAAATAGTGAGCATGTGCTAGGCATGAGTCTATGAAGCATATAAACATGGTTTACCTCATTCGTCCTTGCAGTACCCTTATGAGAAGGGTGTTTCTATTAATTTTCTTTCTTTCTTTCTTTTTTTTTTTTGAGACAGGGTCTTGCTCTGTCACCCAGGCTGGAGTTCAGGGGTGTCATCATCAACTCACTGCAGCCTTGAATTCTTGGACTCAAGTGATCCTCCTGCCTCAGCTTCCCAAGCAGCTGGGACTACAGTTGTGCGCCACCATGCCCGGCTAATTTTTTTTTGTTTTTAATTTTTGAAATTTTTTTGTAGAGACAGTGTCTCGCTATTGTTGCTCAGGTTGGCTTGAACTCCTGGCTTCAAGCCATCCTCCTGCCTCGGCCTCCCAAAGTGCTGGGATTACAGGCGTGAGCCACCGCACCCGGCCAACTTCGTTTTCTATTTGAGGAAAAAGTCCTGATGTGTTGAATAACTAGCCTGAGTCACAGAGCTCCTCAGTGGCAGAGTAGGATTCAAACCGAGGAGCTGTAAGCTGAGGCAATGCTCGTGTCCACTGGCCCACTGTGAGGAGGCAGGAGGGTGGTCAGCTTACCCTTGCTTGTCCAAGGTAGTCTTCATCCAGCAGGTGGAGAGGGGCTTGTGGTATAATTCCACGAAGCAGCCTCGATGTATGGAAGTATCTTTGAAAGCTTAATAGTCTTTTCACCTTTTTCTTGGTGCCAATTTCCCCTGAGTGTGTTGTATCTGTGGAAAGTCATCAAACAGAGAAGTTTATATATTTAAAAGAGAACCTATTTCCTACATGATCTACAAACATAATGTATTAAAAAGGAGAGAAATTTTTTAAAGGCCCTCAATACTTTCTTAAATATGGTCTATTTAACTTTACATTTAAAATTCTTCTGGATCATAAAT